ACACACACACACACACACACACACACACACACACACACACACACAGGCATGGCTAATAAACTTAATTAGATCAATATTAACATTAATTGGTCGCCATGCTGCCCTCTGGTGGCTGAACGAGGAAACGTCCAACTCCTCTGACTGAATGGAGACTCCACATTCCTACGAGGGAGTTTCTTCTGTGAATGCAGGGAGAAAATTGTAACTGTTAGTCAGATTAATTTAGATTAAATGGACCGGGAACGTGTGGATCGTTAAAGCTTCAAGCAAACTGACAGTAAAAGACAACGAAGAGCGGTCCAGACAGAGTGGAGCCAGCAACTTGTGCGGGACAACCTCAGCACGACGGCCGCAGCCCGACAGAACAAGTAAGGCACTTTATTGTCTTTGTTTATAAGTTCAGCCGTGGATTTCATCTGACACTGATTTTGTAGTAATCCTGTCAGGAATGACACAGCATGAAAAAAACAAGGAAAGCATCTAAATCACGCGCAAAAGGGGACGTGGAAGGTCATTAAACATGATACTTAAGAAAGAACGTGTTGTTTTTATATTATAGTAATATAGAGACGCATTGACAAGTATTAATATGAGGTATTTTAAGGAAATAGGCGACGAATCGAATGAAATCTCGAGGTGTAAAAGCGAACTAGTTTGTCATCGCGGCGGAGTGATACGCAGTCGGTGTTCTCAGTACAGCGTCAGGACAGGACACGGCGTGGGGAGAACGGACCGATGAAACGGGGTCAAAAGAAGGGATTTCAAAAAGTTACACAGCCGGACCTGCAGCCCACATCTTGACAAGAACATTAATTACTATGACCCCTGCGTGTTGTTGAAAGGTATGTGATTAAACGGCTGTTCTGTGGTTTAATGAAGAGGAACCGTGAACTCTGGTGAGCTCGGTTCGCCGCTTGTTCCTGGGCTTTCTGCTCCTCGCTCTCCCGGAGGAGGCTGTTAGCTAAGCTAGTAGCATAGCTTGGTTTAACCTCACTTTTAGTTTTTTTTTTTTTTTTTTTCAATTCTGGGAAGAACTAGACGAGCGAATGCTTAACTAACTTGTTAAGAAGCAGCGAACAATGTGCAGTGAAAGAAACATGACTAATTAAATATTGATGGTTTTTATTTGCGGGGCGTCTGAGAAGTAGTTATGCAAAGAAAGCTAGGCTAGTTAGCAGACTCGGGATCGCAGCGGGACTTGTTGCACACATGTCATGATCTGTGCTGCTTTACCGGATTGTGTGTTTTGGTGACACTTTTCGGTTTGTAGTTGTCTATTTTTCAGACTGTTTGCGGAGTTGTGTGATGTTAGATGCGTGTTTCTTTTTAGCCTTTTTTTCCCTGTCAGGGTGGGAACGGAGGGGGGGCTTGTTCTTCCATGTTGTCTTTCCTGAACTTTATATTTGAGTTCAGAGAAGACCCCTGGTTGAACAGAGAAGACCCCTGGTTGGACAGAGGAGACCCCTGGTTGAACAGGGAAGACCCCTGGTTGGACAGAGGAGACCCCTGGTTGNGAGACCCCTGGTTGAACAGGGAAGACCCCTGGTTGGACAGAGGAGACCCCTGGTTGAACAGGGAAGACCCCTGGTTGAACAGGGAAGACCCCTGGTTGAACAGGGAAGACCCCTGGTTGAACAGAGGAGACCGCTGGTTGAACAGAGGAGACCGCTGGTTGAACAGAGGAGACCCCTGGTTGAACAGAGGAGACCCCTGGATGAACAGAGGAGACCCCTGGTTGAACAGAGAAGACCCCTGGTTGAACAGAGAAGACCCCTGATTGAAGTGAAAGCTATCAGTCGTCAGATATATTGTGTTTTTATTGTTGACTGCTCAGATCAGCTCAGATGTTGTTGTTGTTGTTTATCTCCTCTGTAAACACTTTGTTTGAAAGTCCTCTCAGGCCTTTAATGACGCAGTGTTCACTGTCATATCTGTAGAACTCCAAACATGTGATTGTGACAACAAAATAACTAGTGAAAACACATTTTATGAGAATTGCTACAGGTTATACAGCTGAAGCTGATACCAGTTTTTACCAGTCAGGGCAGCTCCAGGCTAATATACAAGACAGGTTTTTTTATTTGTGTTTTTCTTTTTGCTTACAAGTATTTTAAAAACCTACTAAATTAAATAAATGTATATACAAACCCTTTAATATGAGAGGAGCATGTATGTATGAGGTGTGTGTAGTATTATGGTGTATGTGTACTTGTACATGTTTTAGTAGCCTGGTGGGGATACTTTTTATACCATTTTCTAGTGCTGGGCGGTATACCGTTTTGTACCGAAAACCGGTTTTTATTTTTGTTATGATATGACTTTTCTGAATACCGATGTAAATAGCCTGAACACGTGCGGAACGTTTCGTCACGGCCACTGTTTCCCTGGGGACACGTTTTCTCGCAGCACCGCTAAGTAGCATGCTAACATTGGCTGTGTCCAAAACGACAGGCCGGGTCCTCCGAAGGCTGAATTTGTCGGCCGCGTACGTCACAGCACCGCGACGAAGGATGTCCAAAACCGAAGACTCCTCCGATGCGGCCGACAAATACGTCCTTCCTTTTCCTCGATTTGAAGGACGGGTCTGATGGATCCATCTCAGCCCAGCGTATCCCATAATGCATTGCGGCCCGACCGGAGATTTTTTTAAAGCTAGTAATGGTGGACGAAGCGAGAGAAAAGAATACATTTTAAATAAAAATATGGTGATATGAAAATAAAAAAATTAGCGGTTGTAATTCTAATACTTTTATCATTTGTATGGACATGTTTTTACATATTATTTTTTTGTCATAAAAACGTGAAATAAACATGAACCTACAGCGGGTCAATTAGTTCTTCAAATGATACCTTTAAGTTAATTTTATAGTTTTGTGATATTAATAATGCTAATGTATTGATATTTTTCTAGTTTTGATTTAAGTTTGCTTGTTTAGCGTCATCACAGTTGCTAGGTGACAAGACGTACGCCGGGGTAAGGAGGGGAGGCTAGACCGTCCAAACTCACAGCCTCTTTTTTTCCGGTCTTCCCGGTCTACCAAGGACCCGGCCCGGGAAGTCTGGGTCCTCTGGAGGACCCGGCCTGTTGTTTTGGACACAGCTCTTATCTCAGCTGTAGCAGTAAGTTTAAAAACAGGATAATGAAACTAGTTTAATGAAGAATCTGTCCCTGAACAAATTATTAAATCAAATGTTTATTTATATAGGTAAAAGTATGTTAAACAACCTGGTAAAATACACCAGAATGCTAGAA